GGATCCTGCCCAGAGGTGCTACATGAATCCTTCCTGGTGTGATAGGTGGCCTTCATGAGAACACTACATCACAACCACAGCTGTCATGGGTGTCTGAGGACTGATGGGCACTGCTGTACTCATTTCACAGTTCAAGTAGGAGAAGTTATGCTCTCCAAAACCAGGCCATGTGTCTACCTCCCTAAATTGTCTTTGAACTCTTGCTCCTCTGAGCCCTACATTAGGAAAAAGGAGGCAGAGAGAGAGAGATTTCTGACCACAGTAAGCTAGGTCAAGCCTTATCCTATGTCCTGGAACCAACAGCATGACCTTTCTCTTTCTGCCATCTCCCCAGGCCATGCTGCTGCCCCTTCTTTCTGTGCTATTTCTGCTCATGCAGCCGCAGGGGAACCTGGGAGCTGAGTTGAAGCACTACCATGCTAAACCACTGCCCAATGCCTGCACTCTGGTCATATGCAGCCCCACAGAAAATGGCTTGCCTGGCCGTGATGGCCGGGATGGAAGAGAAGGCCCCCGTGGTGAGAAAGGAGATTCAGGTAAAGTGGAGATCAGGAACTTATCAGGTGGGTAGGTGGTCTTAGATGATGAACAACCTATATCTGGGTACTCTGAAGGAGGACTTGGCAATAGGCTTCTCTTAACTCAAGGTCATGGGTTTCTCCTCACTGTTCACTCCACCAGACACACTCTTCTATCAGCTGGCAAATGCACGAGGCATGATAGAAACACACGGCACATGTCTGAGAGAATTTAATTTATCACAGTTAGAGACACACTGCAATTAATCATCCACAAAACACTTCTGTTTCCTTCAAACACACCCACTTCTGAAGCACTTTTGCATCTCTTCTTTTGTGGATGTCTTTAGTGGTGCTATCATGGCTGCCTTGATGTCCTGAATCTACACAAAGCATTTCTCTCCTGGTCGTTTGGACTGTGGGGGAAGAGCCTGAAGTTGCATGGAGCTAGATCTGGTAAATATGGTGGATGACTGTCTCTCTGTTGGACAGCATTCAGCAACCCCTGTCACTATTTTTTATCACTCTTGGTAAGGCACTCACAAAAGAGGACTTTGGAGCAAGAGAAGTGGAATAAAGGGCCAACCAAATAGCTCAGTGGATTAAAACAACTGCAAGCAGGCACAGGGTTTAATCCCTGCACCTGCCAGGCTGGCTCCACCCCTGGGTGCTCTGAGAGGGCAATTGAGACTGGGTGTGGTGGCACATGCCTGTAATCCCAGCTCTTGAGAAGCTATAAACAGAAGAATCACTGAGTGCAATCTAGTAGTGAGACCTTGAACGCCCTGTAGACCCCTCCCTAAAATACAAAAAGAAAGAAAGAAGAAAGAAGAAAGAAAGAAGAAAGAAAGAAAGAAAGAAAGAAAGAAAGGAAGAAAGAAAGAAAGAAAGAAAGAAAGAAAGAAAGAAGAAAATAAATGAAAAAGAAAAACAATGGAATAAGTATGTTTGAAATGAGGAGGTATTTTAAGGATTATTGATGGCAATGTGTCACCTCACGTGTCAATTCTGAACTCCCAGCTTGCTTCTCCCCAATCATCCAACCAACCTGACTCTTCCTCTGGGGTCCCTGGGGCCCCCTAAACCCAAGAAAGAATAAGTAGTGAGTAAATCACTATGTTGGGCAGTCCTTAGAGACCTTGGCCTGGCAGCTAGAAGTTGTTCATTTTGATTAAGTGGTGCCTGTATAGCATATTAAATATTTTTAATAATCAAACTCCATCAAAAGAGGAGAGAAGGAAATGAGGCCCCATGACCGCCTATACAGACTTAGTCAAACTTCTCATTAGACTTGACAAGATGAAAGGGAGTTAGATTTCTTCATTTAAACCTGTGGGTGGGTATTTGAGTGGTTCATGTACTTCTACCAAAAGCCTGAAAAGGAATTTATTAATCTCCTTTGCCAAATTAGAAAACTATAATTTTCTTAGTTATTTTGCTCTTGCTGCTGAGACAAAATACCCAACACCTGAAGTCAAAGAGAAAAGCTTTATCTTTCTTACAGTTTGTGGAGGTTCCAATCCATAATCAGCTGGCTCCAAGGCAGACTGGGATGGCAGAGGGCAGAAGTTCATGGGAGCAGAAGACAGCAAAGCACTAAGAGCAGAGAGCGGGGAGAGCAAGTCTCCTTTCCTCTCTTATGTTGAGAGCAGGCTCCCCACCCTAGGGCAGGGGTAGCAATCACACCACCTCCCTGTCCCCCTCTTGCACAGGCTCAGGATGCTTAGGAAGTGAGGAAGCTGGCCACACTTCTTTCTTTATTTATATATTTTTAATTTTTTTTCAAAGTGAATACTGTTTAATTAGGTGCCTATAAAGTGGATCATAATGTCAGCTTCATTACATGATAAACTGAGTACGTTGAAAATTTTCATTATATTTGCGAAATAAATTGAGAGTAACATTTCCTCCTTTCCAGAGTTCTTAAGGCATGCACAGGGATTGTGAAGAAATAATGTGTTGCTCATACTCTATTTTCTTTTCTTTGCTTTTTTTAAAAAAATATGGAATGCTTGATGAATTTGTATGTCATCCTTGCACAGGGCCCATGCTAAGCTTCGCTGCACTGTTCCAGTGCTAGTGTATATACTGCCTATTTTCTTTTTTTTTTCAATTTTCATATGAGTTATATTTATCTCTTCAGCAGGCAGTTGACCTTTTTTTTTCAAAATTTTATTGATAAACAGATAGCAATGAGACAGTTTCAAATCAAATCGGAAGTGCAGATTCAACAAATAACACACTGCATATATTCTTC